CCAGTAATCGTGTTTTAACTTTGAAGTCCTCGCACGGTCACACGTTTAGCGCGAAGTACGCGCGGCAACTAACTGAGGTTGGTCTGTTATTGCCATGTTGGTGCTACCGAACATGTGACCGAGAGAACTTCGTGATGTGGTCGTTTAATTATTCTCTAACTTTGTTTTAGCAGCCACTGCACTAGTTTATATTTTTTTAAGTTAGTTAGTTTTGAAGCTAAATGCGTATGCGCAATTTATTAAAATATTGTTGTATTTATGTAAAAGTCAGTGTGTAATTATAATAATTTTGCATTTGTTTACTTAAATGTAAGTTACATAATGCAATGAAGTATTTTGAAGAAATCTAGTGTGGTTCACATTTTACAATTACACAAGTTTAAATTTTCATTAATTGCTATGCATTAGTGAAAATTTATACTTGTGTACTATCAATATAACAAAAGCAATAAATAGAAGATCAAAATGAAATACAAAATAATAAATAGACGCATCATAATAACATCTATAATTAACAATAAAAGGACTTACCTAGAATTATATTTATTAAACCAGCAATATAAAACAATGTATTATAATACTTACATGTAAAAACTTCAGATGAATTGTAAGCAATATTACCGCGCCGGTGTTATTTTCACATCAGCTGATGATAAGGAAGATGAGAGCTATCTCGTGATCGCGCCGTTCGGTTGGCAGCACTGTACACTCCTGCGCAGCCTCCGCGGCCTTGCTACTCATCATTGCGTGATTCAATACTAAGTTAATTTGTTACGTATCTTAGTGCACGATTTTGTGAATTTATTGCTCATATTGCAATGCAGGAGCAAGGTCGTATAAACCTATTACTATACCAATGTATTGAATTTTATCATAAATACCTAAGTTTTATTGAGTGTAAAACTAGTTCATAATACAATTTAATAAATACATTAACTTTGCATTTATTTATAAGCGTGGCGAACCAACGACTGACCTAGCTACACCAGGTTTTATCTGTACTTTGGAGTAACAAGCTAAGAACAAAATCTTTGAAAAATGAGGCAAAGAAATGTAATCCAACACCAATCAAGTATACCTACTGACTACTTGCTCAGTAAAAATCAGAACAAATACTCATCACACAATTATTTGTCTTGTGTGGGAATCGAACCCACAACCTCTGGTTTAGTAGTCAGGGTTACTAACCACTAGACCAACAGGCCCGTCTAAGAAGAAGAGAATAGAAAATAGATGATCTGTTTTTTTTTATCTACTATTCAGGAAGAAGAGAATAGAAAATAGATGATCTGTTTTTTTTTTATCTACTTTTTCAGGCTAATTGAACTATTATTCGCCCATCCAGTTCGTTCCTTATTTACCTACCTAAAGAACAACTAATAAGTTTTTATTACCTGATTACAATCCCGAGATTATGGTCAAACTATTCCGAAATTAGTATAAAGAGAAACACCCAAATATAGACTTTATCAACAAGGAACCGGCAATCTGCGCCACCATCAAATGTCTTTTTAAATAAAAGAAAAACAAGTAAGAGATAAATGCTAATTAGAAATATGAATAAGAATTTATTTGCCTGACTAGTACACGAATGTAATGTAAAACTATGTTTAGAAATACGTTAAGCTTTCCGCTTTCCATAAATGTGTAGTTCAAAATTGCCAGTAAAGCTATTTTAAATGTAGGGGTTAATTAAATATATCTTTATTGTGATTCATATTCACGTTTTGTACGTGGGCATACTGAGTCTTTGGATGTGGCACCTTACAATAAAATAATGAAAAAAGTATGATGGAATTCTTTGGGAATATGTTACTTTTTAATTTTCCAGACTGTCATTTGTTTTTTCATTGTGACGTCCTTTCAAAAGTGTGTGTCGCTATCAAAACATAATTTAACTCGTGAATATTTTCGTTCAATGATTTTTTATGATTTTCTTTGTGCTTTAAGTCAACAAGAGAGTTGCCAGAGATTTCAATTGGCATTTGGTGATGAAGCACCATGTCGCAGCTCTGTGTATTATCTCTCTGTGTATATCTGTGGTTTAGAGCATTTAGACATGGACGTGATCATCTTCATGTCGAGGTACGTGACTGGTCGGCCGGGGACTCTAATATTGACACCGTACGACAACTTATTGAAACTGACAAAAAATTACTTGCCAGCAAATTCGTGATTTGTTAGGCATTGGAATGAGTAAAAAATTTACATGTGCATCTGAAGGTTTGTGAACCTTTGCACTCTATGGATACCACATGACTTAATTTTTAAAGTAATTTAAGACTGGTCCAACTGCTTGGTACTGTAGTTTCAGCGAATGCAAAAATACATGACTTTGCAAAACCATAAATGTATCGTAAGTCTTATTTCTAGTCTTATTTATCAGAATTGAGAAACTTGCAGTATGTCCTAGGTATGCTTTTCACATTTTGTTAAATCATAACTTCAATCATAACTCATCATAACATGATCGATTTTTACTAAAATAATTCAGGCAATCTTACATTCGCACTAACTATTAATCGTTGTATGGAGAATAAGGGACCTTGATCCCGGAATCGCGATGAAAATTCCGTAGTTACGTACATTTCATGAGCCCCAGGACTTGCAAGTACTTTAAAAAGTGTTATTTAGAAATAATTCGAGGCAACTCCCAGTCTAAAGTATAATATGCACAAGTTAATATACAATAGAATAACAAAATGTAAAAGATTTTACAAACATGTAAATCGACCTAGATTAAATCTTTAAATTAAATATTAATTTAGTAAGGAAACGTGTAACTGCAGCATGTTTCTTTTTAGGAGATTTAATATTAAACTTGGTTGGAGTTTTATTTTATTTAACTGATTTTATTTTATAAACATTATAACTTTATACAACAATAAAATATAAAAGATAAACATATTATACTATTATTATATCCGTGTGGTGACGGATTAAGAATACGGATAGTCACCACCCCTATGCATCAAATGGGTGTCGTAAGAGCACAGCTCTGCAAAGAGAAGGAAAACTTGAAACAAACCCATTTGTTTTACGTGTGGAGACAACCCCCTCCTTCCCCTCGGGCCGTCACGCCACCAGGGTTTAGGTTTGGGGGTCGTACTGACTAAAACCACATGGTGTGCCACTCGGCGCCTAAAATAGGAAGGATCCGGGCACTGGTAATATTAAGATATCCGGCACCACCTTCGGCTACATTCTCTATTTAGGCGACGTCCCGTCCCGGCGCGAGGACGTCCTCCCGGGCCCTCTCCGCCACCTCCTCCTGCCAGATGACGTCCTCGCACAAGGATGCGGTAAAACATCTGTCGCTATCGGCAACAAATAATACCCTCTGAGAGCATAGAGAAAGTGTTTTTATGATTGATTATTGAATTATTGGTTTTCAAAAGCCAAATTATATATACCTACCGAACAGTCTTATCACTATATCTTACGTTTTTGCTACAGATGATAGCATTTACACTTACAATTGACTAATTAGGTGCGTATAAGAGCGATTATAATAAATTATAGATTTAAAACTCTTAAATTTAGATGTAGAGAGATTGTTACTATTAATAACGGTTACTAACTCTAATGTTGACACCGTATGACAATTAGTGTCCGTGTAGTGACGGACTAAGAATACGGAATGTCACTACCCCAATTTATCCCGTGGGTGTCGTAAGAGCCGACTAAGGGCGCAAAACAACGCAGGACACCAGCATTGCAAAAAGAAGGAAAACTTGACCCAAACCCTATACCAACCCGTCTGGCCAGCGTGGTATAGTAGGCCAAAACCTCCTTTCTAAGGAGAGGCCTATGTCCAACAGTGGACTATTAAAGGCTGTTGATGTGTGATGTGATGTGATGTGACGACAATTTATTGAAACTGACAAAAAAAATACTTGCCAGCATATTCGTGCTTTGTTAGGCATTGGAATGAGACAAGTGCAAGAATTTTACATGTGCATCTGGAGGTACGGAAGCTTTGCACTCGATTGATACAGCATGAATTAACGGAGGACTAGAAACGACTGCGTGTCCAGTGATGCCGTAAAATGATAAAAAAGTTTAACGGAGGACAGTTATTGGCTGTCAATAATATCGTGACAGGTGACGAAATCTGGGTGTACTGTTTTGAACCCGAAAGAAAAAGCCAGTCGGCAGAGTGGGTCTTGCCTTTTGAAGATTTTCCGACGAAAGTTAAGAAAAGTCGAAGCATTGGTAAAAAAACGGTTGGTTCTTTTTTTGGAAAACAATAAATGTATCGTAAGTCTTATGTATCTTCTTATTTATAAGAATCTAGAAACTTTCAGTATCCCCTAAGTAGTATCATTTAGTACTTACAAAATATGTATGTAAATGTGTACCTAGTGTATCTATGTAAGTCTAATCTAATCTTAGTGCAACATTTGCAACAGATCACAATTTAAAATAATTTATCACATTTACTCTAAAGGTTGACTGGAAGAAAATGCCTATGGCATTTAGTCTGCCTTATGCAATGTATTTGCAGGTAGTACTTACAAAAAGTAACTGTAACTAAAAAAAAGACAAAAAAAAGACCATCAGGTTTTTTCTTAACAAGATTTATTATAGGAATGAGTATATTCCGTGTCTATTGGTAATGAGGAACTAAAGGTATATGTGGTATGTACGTATTAGTACATTAAAAAAACATAAATAAATTAAATAAATCACAACATTTCAATAAGTACTTCAACCGACAAGAGTCTAGAAAAATATTGTATACTACAGGTACACTGCAAAACAACTTAAAACATAATTACGTAATGTCATAGAAATCGGACTTCGCGGTTATTTAAATTGCAGATCAAAGGTTTTGTTAAAAAAAATCTAAAACTCTAAATAATCTATAATTTTCGTAATCTTTGCAATGAGGTACTTCGAATTTTACTATACTGAGTTACACCTACACCTACCTATGTATGTATAGTGTAATAAATAGTCAAAAAAATGATCCTAAATTCGTTGTCACTTTAGATACGTTACAACTCTGAAACAATACAAAAATACGTTTTAGTTGTATCTATTAAAAATGTAGATAATAAAATTGTTTTATATCAAAAAGTTTTTATACAAGAAAAAAAGCAGGGTTGTCGATGGCGCACAGTGACAAAGGAAGTTGTTGCATATATTTTACTAAAAATCTAAATAATTTTTAATTTTAAATGCAAGAATAGAACTCCTAGTCGTTTTAATATTTATATTCGTATGACAGTAGTGCGTACTCCGTTAAAGCTTTAAGGTTAAAAATGAAAGCTCATATTTCGGAACAATTTAACTCTCCTATTTATTATGATACATGATGAAGAGAATACAAATAACATATTGTTGTGATCGAAAATTTAAGTGTTTGATAACCCTGGTCAAATAATACAATTATATTATTAATAACTTGTAGATAATACGTTGTTAAAAAAGTTGGTTAGATATAGTAAACGGTAGTTGGTCGTTGTCGTTCCGTGAAAAATCTGTACTTTATGCACTTTTGCTTTTTAAAATGTATATATATATATATAAGCTTTAAAAATTGTTACATACTGTACTAATATACACTTCAATACTGATTTTAAACTATGTATTTTTTGTCAGGCGCACAAAGTGAAAACGGAAAAAATATTAGTCTACTTTTACTTCTGCATTTCAAAAGAAGTATTAAGATTTCCTAATATAATGGTTAATATAAATTTGAACAGTAATAACCACGTTTACTTTTGTCAATAAAATACAGTTACTAGATAATCCTTTATTTCTGTGTTTCATGGATGGACCAGTTTCGAAAACCCCGTTATTTCAAAGGTGCGATTATTAAGTTCAAGTATTATCTTTTATCTTTATTTTATTTGTCTTAATATTAACTACGGAAGCGTAAACTAAGCTTTAAAGCAAGTGTAAGACTCTTAGGATATAAACTATAATTTCTATTTTATTAACAACCTTTTCCAGAATAAAAAGCCATGTGGAATAACCAAACCATAATCTATCTTTAATAAATATTCATCCGAACTTTCAGCTCTGGTAAATTATTCGTATAAATCCACTTCGATGATTAAACGATAATTTTAAAAGATTAGGACTTACTTGTGATACCGGGTATTTTCATAGACCACAAGAGGGTGTGGCTGCAGTGTATCGTCACTGTTTCTGACCCACTAAATGCATTAGAAGTGCTCACCAGCTGACCAAATTGTAACGGTTGATTGTCTAAAATGAATAGGTACATACATATTACAGGCAAGTTGTTTTCGTTATATTGTTCTCTATGAAATAAATATTAGTAGATAGACATAAGTATAATTTTTAAGCATTTTTAATTTTATTATATTCCACCTCAAAAATTAAGCAGGCAGGTAGATAGTAGTAATAGTTGCGGGTAGGCCCTGAAGGTGTACGGACGTATGAACACGAATCAATGTTTGTTTTTCGCCAGAGACTCCAATCAAATTGCAAAACTTTTTTGCATTGCGCCTATTTCTATCGCAACCAGTAACGGATAAAGAAAAGTATTTTCAGTTACGAAACTTAGTTGCGATGGCGGCCGGAGACGTTTTTATTAACTTTGTCACCAATTTTTTTTCTACGCAGCCATTTTAGTTTTATTTAAACAAAACTAACTTAAAAAAAGATCACTGATTAAAAAGCCCCATACCAAGAAACTAGTAAAAAACATATCGAACCCACATCACTCAGCGTAGTAGGGAGCGGCGTGGCGACCACTTAAACCACGACGCCATCCGTGCAGTCGGTGCAATAATGTTAAGAACAATTTTGCAAGTTGCATGTCTCACCTAAATTCCATTTCAGCCCCGTAGAAGTAACATACTTGCAAGGTTCTCCAATCGGTATTAAAGAGCACCAGGCCCTTTTATATTTCAGTGTGCTTTTAGGAACAATGATGGTGTGCTCTCCAGGATTAAGCAGCCAGGACAAAGAATCGTCTGACAGTATGAACACCTTAGTATGTGGGTCCAATAATAATTTGTCTCTAGCCAAGAACAAACTTTGAATGTTTCCTATAGTTTGATCTAACCGGCCTGAACCTTGAGCAAATGCAATAACATGATCAATCTGTAAAAACAAACGATGATTTATTTTAAGGATATACCTGCTGAGTTCAACTTTTGCTGGCTCATAGGTAAGGTGGTATGTCGGAGTTGAACCGATTGAACACAGGGTCTTATTGTCGGAGGTCAGGTGTTCCGTAGAAAGTAACCGTTTTGAATCCTAGCGGACCTCCCTGAGGATGATACTTACATAGCTAAGTATAAACCAATAAAACCAGGCCATAACTTGGTATTTGAATATTATAGATAAATTACACCCAGACACAACAAAAGGTTCTGCTCATCACACAAATATTTGTTCTGGGTGGCAATTGAACCCACGACCTCTGGCTTAGCAGTCAGGGTCACTAACCACTAGACCAACGGGCCAGTCAATAATCAAAAAATATCGTATTCTCTATCTCTCATGTAGGGAAATTTCAAACCGCGCAAACACAGATTTGCTCATGGGCACTAATTTGAAGCAGTAACAGGATTAACAATAAACTCCGAAGTTAATTTAATGGTTGCAGTGATACTAAAAATTGTTTTAAGACTAACCAACCTGCTGCTTGTATAAATAAAAATACAAGCTAGAACATGTGTCCTGGGTATATACATTTTATAACGTAATTATTTGAGTATAAGTATTACACATATCTTTATTTAGCATAAGAGACTCCAGGAGTGTGAGTACCGAAACTGTTTTTCTGACTTATTTGTACAATAACTTGAATGACTTTTACAGCTTCCAATATCTGGATAAAAGTACTTATCACAATGAAATAAATTAAAGAACCAGCTAACTAGTTTTTCAACTACAACACTCAAAGGCTAAAAACATTTAAGCAACAAAAGTAAACTAACCTGGATTCCATTTCCATTACAATGAATATTTAATTCCATTAATGCTTTTGTAAAGTCTGTGTGATTTTGATCAGGAGTCACGATCATCTACAAATATAAATAAAATGAAAATACCAATCAGTACTCCTACTTTACGACTAGGGATGTCCAAATCCATCAGTGCCTTAACACAATCTGTGTGTGAGGTATCTGGAGTGTCTTTAATACTAATTTTTTTCAAAAGGTCTAAAGACACAAGGCTAAACACCGGAACCAGATTTTTTTTATTAAACACTTAAATAAAGCAGGTAAAGAAAACAGTTTTACAGTGGTTGCCTCAAATCAACATTATTTTCTTGGTTAACAGATAATAATATATCTCAGACAACTCACACACAGCCGTCTGATCCTAAATCCTCCTATGGATAAAGCCTGTGCTTTTATAGATACTAAATTTAGTTTACCTAAGTATATTTTTGTGAGTAAGTTAATAATTTGTGTTTTCCCATCTGTTTGGCACATACCTACTTTCTATTCGGTTTATCATGAATCCTTTTGATTCAACAGGCTTCAGAACTTCATGTCACAGCAATTTAAAAACTAATATGTGAGAAAAGCTAAACTTATTATGTAGGGTTGTTTAATCCAGCTCATAATTAAATGAGACTGTGAAAAATACCATAAAAAAATGAGCTGTTAAGGGCCATCTGGCAGATGGTAAGCATCAAACTTGTTTTGTCTGCTACCCTCTCTACCCCTTTGGAGATACAATAATAATAAGTGTGTACATAATATGTAGAATTTGTTGGATGGTGGATTGAGAATACAGAGTGTCACCACAGCAATTCATCCCGTGGGTGTCGTAAGAGTCGACTAAGGGAGTAAACTATGCAGGACAACAGCATTACAAGGAAAACTTGAAACTAACCCTATACCAACCCGTCTGGCCAGTGTGGTGTAGTAGGCCAAAACCTCCTTTCTAAAGAGAGGCCTATGTCCAGCAGTGGGCTACTAAAGGCTGTTGATGATGATGATAATGTTGTACATAATATACGAGACAGCAGTACAACTATAAATGATGTTTCAATTTTAATTTTATTTAAATAATTTAATTTTTTAACATTAATTCAAAAGAAAAAATTTCACCTTACAACCTTTCTTTGTGTAAAGCGCCAGCACTTCGTCGCCAATGGAGTCAAAGTCTCCAGTCACAAGGTCAGGCTTCATAAATGTTTTTCTGACTGCTTCCGTTTGATTTTTTAGGAATTGTTCCCATTGTTTTGTACCTCCATCAACCGTTATTGTTACACTTGCTAAAATAAAATTCAGAATACAAATTCCAAAGTTGCAAATCTAATCAATGGATTAGATTTGCAACTTTGGAAATTTAAGGTTTATCCTGTAAAACAAAACTGTTGAAACCACAGCCTAAACTAAGGACAGCATAAACTAAGGAAATATTCTCATTAAAAATATTAATGGTTGATATAGATAAAATCGTAAAAGATATAATAATGAAAAAAATCTATACAAATAAATAAAATTTTTTTTCATGCTCACACGGTTATTTACACGATACCTATGCCTAAAAACCAGTTTAAACATTTTTAGTCTGTCTGTTTGATGCGGGTAATCTTCGAAATGGCTTGACCGATTTTGATAATATTTTACTACTACCACGTCTATATAAGGAGGATTGTCGCTATTTTTCTCTATTATCGCTATTTTTTCTAATAAAATCTAAAAACAATGATATACCTGTTATTTCGTCTTTTCAAATAATTTTTGCAGCCCTCTAATTTATTTAGTTATTTTTATTTGCCCTAGATCGTGTTTGCTTTGGACAACTCTGCTCTAAAAGCTTTTAGTTTGATGAGAGGTAAACTCGAAATAAATAATTACATCTGTTTCCGATTAGAAGAATGGGCAGGGTAGGATGTTTGTGGTTTGTATGCGTCCCTAGCATGATATTAAATAATACAGTACAAACATGCCTTAAAATGCAAATTTGGGAATCAACAACTTTTATTCCTAACTAACTTTAAATATTAAAAAAAAAAATTGATCAAGTCAAAGCAAATATAAAATCAGTGCTAAAAGAAAAAAGGAATTAGTATGTTTTTCGTAAGTAGAAGGTACTTAAGTGACTACTGAGAGGTTCATCCCGAGTATATATTCAGTTTTACCCACCATTTTTCCACATTTTTGTCACAAAATCCAAATTTTGTGAAATAGGCCTATTTAAAATTAAAACAGCATAATTGGCTGTCTTGGAGTTTTCTATGATCACTTGAGGGATATTCCATCTATAACAGTTGACTGCACAAAAAGCTTCACAACTGGTGTCCTGAAAAGACAAATAATCTTGGTTAATCATTGGCAAATAATCACATTATATATTGACTTCAACTACCACAGTCATGTTCACTTGATAAGTTAAAATAAATGGGATCATTCACTTTTCATGCGTGATCATGGCGCTTGCAACAGAGCTGAAATATCAGAACTAATAATAAACACTGTAATATCTACGGACAATGTTGAAGGACAAGGTGGACACATAAAATATCTATTTAACATTTTGATTAAACCTCTAACGATTAAAGCATTTAGGGTTGCTGTTTTTTTTTTGTTTTTGATTTTTTACACTAAGTAATTAATATTACATTAGAAAAAAAAAAACAATAATTCTAAAAGCACTTACATGTAGAAAAAAGGCTTGGTTTTAATATGGATATAAGGAAATGTTTTTGCTGCTTTAGAGTATTAATAAATTCATATCTTACAAAAAATAACCTTAATTGTAGAAAACAGTGTAAACTGAAGATTTCTAAAATGTCACTAACCTTGTTATCAATATGTCCATTAGAAGACATAACAGAATGGTTTTTATTAAAAGAAACGTAAAAATGGAGAATTTAAATTTTCGAAATTAATTCTAAACTTTTGTACAACAAATTCACCAACTTATTCTGGACTTGGAGGCTGGAGCGCTATTTCATGTCATGCACTGGTTGACATTGACAGGTTTGAAATTAGGAAGGGAATGAAATCATAATCACATGTGTTAAATCATTATATTTATATATCATATGACCACACCTGTGTCTGATTTACGAAACCACTGCGACTTATTTTTACGCTGGCGCAAGACTCGCGAAAAAAAGAAAACGACACGCCGTGTATAGAGTCGGAATGAAGTTCCTTTCGCTTTTTGGTAGACGTTTGCTATAGTGTCGGCAAAAAGTCTTGTTGGACATTTTTTCGGTCTCGCTCCCATCCGCTCAGAGCGTGAAACGCGCGAAAATGAACTTCGTTCCAAAAAAAAAACAGGGGCACTCCGGGAGTGCCGACAGAGGTGAAAACTTGAACAATTACGTGTGTATTTCTATTTGAATAGTTTTTCGATTCGAATAGTTCCGACATAGCTTGTTTCTTGCGATACCAATACCACGGTACAATTATAATACAGTACTCCAACTTCATACAAACGGACGAAACGCGAGCTATACCTACGCGCCTCGATCTCGGGGTGCGCTCGGGGCGCAGACAGTCACGGCTGTACCGCAGTGTCGAACGGACGGTGTGTTGTTTTTTTAACAATAACCGCGCGATTTTTTCTCTAAAAATCAGTTAATATGACGAGTAGGAAATATTGTGCTGTTTTTGGTTGTATGAATTCATCAATAACGCATCCAGACAAGTTTTTTTAAATTACCTGGAAACTCTGAAAGGTAAGACTTTAAAATAATTTTACTTACTAGTAGGTAGGTACATAATGTGTGTCTTTTTAATGGATGAGTATTTCCTTTTATCTCACGAAAAAAAAGGTGTTTGGATTAACAAATAAAGCAAATAGAGTAATGGAAAGTTATTGAGACGAGTGAAATAGGTAGTTATATGCGGTTCTGAATGAATCATGATACGGTAGGTACCTACCTACTTACGCTTGTGTTAAAACTTCGGTGCATGTGTGTTTTGTTACTTTGCATAATTCAAAGTAAAGACGTGGTATTTTATTATTGATAATATTTGTTTATTATCTGTGTGTATGAATAATACTAGAAAAAAAAAATTACGGTCTGTGTGTCATTAGATAGTTTTCGAAATTTTCACAAAGTGTTTCTGCTGCTACTATAACAACATATACCACTAAAAACTGGTTTTATTTTCACGGTATTAACAACAACAGCTAAGCTTTAAAACATTCGTTATCAGCTGTTCAGCTTTTTAATAATTAATTAATTGGTGACCAAAGAATTTTTGTTTTGAGTTGTTGCGAGTTGTAGGTAGGTACCTAATTTATAGAGACGTTAATAAGCTGAGATAAAAAGTTACTTACTCGTCAGCTGTTTCTTGCATTCTAGTTGAGTAGGTAGGTGTTGGAGTTTCTAAGGATTGGAGTTTTGTAACGCGTAAGGAGAAAGCACATTTTTTTTATTCTATAGAAAGATTTTTAAGCTATTGCATAGCTTTTATCGCGGGCTCTGAGCGCGGCGCGGCGCGGTGACCGAATCAAGAAATTCTCAAAACCTAACGAAAAATACCTGACACCACGCAGATTATTTCTTTTAAAAAAATAAATGTTATGCAATAGCTTTACCGCGGTAGTCTCCGAGAGTGCCACATGTATTTTTTTTTTTCAGACGTCTTCAATGGTTGCAACTGATCCGGCGAGATGATTTGGAAAACAAACCTAACTTTAGTTCCTACCAAGTTTGTGAAAAACATTTTAATTTGGAGGCTGTATTACATTCATCAAATAGAAAACTTTTAAAAAAGAATGCCCTACCATTGTTGATGCTGTCAAGCTTAGCTAGTACTGATCCAGGAGTCTCTCTAAAAGAAGATAAACAAACCCAAACTGCTCCGTTGGTGGGAAATGAAAAATGTACACAGACTGAAAATGCAACAAATGAAATCTTTGCTCAAACCTCAACAAGTCTCTCTAGCACCACTCCAAGAAAAAGAAAATTGAAACTTGAACTCCTCCAATGCAGAAAGAAAATAAAATAATTAAATCTACCAATCAAAAAACAACACGCATTTTTATTGAACACTTCCTATTCAATATACAAAGTATTTCATTTATTTATATAAAAAGGATATTTACAATCACAAATCTAAATAGAAACAGAAAGTAGGCAAATATAATTAAAATGCTGGAGACGGGCAGCCCTAACGCATGTTTACGTACCGCGCGGCTGTAGGCATTTATTTTTATCATGCGGCCGAGTTACACTACTGTATTATAATTGTACCGTGCCAATACCATCCGGATGTGCTCTGAACGCGTATGCTGATGACGGCTTATTACTGGTGGCACCTGATACTAGGGCGGGGCTTGAGAGATTAGCCAGTAGATGTTTGAACTTGATATCTCTATGGGGTGAACGTAATCGCTTAACTTTTGCACCCAACAAAACCTTCCAGCTACTTTTAAAAGGTAACCTCAAATCACCGCCGAGCATTAGATTTGACAATGTTACTGTAAAAAATAAATCTACAGTGTGTTATCTAGGATTAGTTTTAGAAAGAAACTTTTCATTTATCGAACATATTATAATAGTTAATGAAAAGTCTAAAAAGAGTTTCGTTGCATTGACAAGGATATCAACTGCGACATGGGGTCTATCATTTAAAACATTAAAGATCATATACGGAGCTACTTATTTAGGTTCTATGCGCTATGGTGCAACTGTATGGGCCGTAGGCGTAGGCGCTGTCTGTCGCAAACTGTTACAAGGCCAACGACTTGCACTGATATTCTTGTGCAAGGCATATAGGACGGTTAGCACTGAGGCTTTGTCGGTGTTGGCGGGTGTGCTTCCGGTCGATCTCGAGGTGCAGAGACGTGCAGCCATGTACTATTCAAGACAACAAAACATGGAATGCGATGTTTTGGGAGCACGGGATCGCGGTAAAATTACAAGATTGCTTCAACAGCAGTCCGATGTCTATAATGACCTCATAGACGAATGGCAACAACGCTGGGATGAATCATCCAAGGGGCGCCATCTTTACCAATTCTTTCCATCTGTTCGCGAACGGTTATCGAGGATATGGCTTGAGGTGGATCACTGTGTCGCTCAATTTCTTACGGGTCATGGTAACTTTAAGAGCAATCTTTATTCATTTAAATTAGTCGAGTCACCATTGTGTCAATGCTCAACACCTAACTCTCACTATAAACAGTCTGCTCATCATATCCTCTGGGAATGTAGTCTTTAGTATAATGAACGTAATATAATGCTGAAGAGCTTGCAGGTGACATCTGGGGCGGTATACTATGGGGATCTTGTGTCAACTAGGGTGAATTTCCGTGCGTTTAGGCGATTCTGCCATACATATTATAGAAATCAAATATAGCTCACGTAGGACCCGTAATATTTCGTGGCCGTGGTGCTTCCCTGTTTAAAAGGGTGTATGCCCATTTTACTTCATTTTGTCTCCCGCTTTGCTAAGGAGGGAAGTGGATTTACTTTATTTCCAACTCCTCCAATTTTCTTCTGATTAATTTCGTTGCGGGTTCCAAGACAGTTTAATTTCTTCCTGGGACTTCCCGAGTGTCATAACTCGGTGTGTTTGTGGGTCACTGCTATGGATCCTGGTGTACAGGAGTTACAGTGGTGGACGTGTGGGTGGGATTAGTCCCAATAAAAAAAAATATATATCCATGTATACGCAATATATATTTATATTCTCGATATATTTCAACCCAAACTCAACTCTCGTGTAAACGGGGCCAATATATGTAGATATTTATATGCAGAGGAGTCGCTAACGGTAACGGACCGTTAGCGTTAGCGGGTGTCGCGAGCTCAATGGTTTTTTCAGATCTGAAAAAATGTGTTTTATCTTAAACAATAAAATATATTTTGTTGTTTTTTGGTCAAAAATGCCCAACGCGCTTAAAGTTTTCACTTCAAAAAAGTAAAGGTAAAGGATCTTAGATAAAAATAATTTTGATTGCTTTTAATAGCATTAATCCTTGTCTATGACGAAATCATAATTACATGTAAATTCGCTGTGACTAAAAATCATTTCATCAAACGAATATAATTTAAAAGTTGCAATAATTTCTGTCTGTTTGACAATGTCACTGTTTTGATGTAAATGACAGATTAAGACAGGTTAGGTCATTGAAATATAAGCGTAGAGTGAACAAAAGCCCTAATCTTGCAATGTAGGCAACGAGAGAGATCGCTACTAGGTAGTTCCCTTTATCTCTTTCTACTTGAGTTCTTTAGTTGGATGAGGCAATTTCTAATCACCCGCGTTCTACGATCAAAATTATGGCCATTTCACGACAGTCAATCGCACCTTTGCTAAAGCACCGCTTCCACTTACTGGCAGCTGTTAACCATTATCTCTTTATGCTTAAAAATCTCTATGGGTTAGGTCAAGGGTACTGGCACAGATAAAGAATATTATCTTTGGGTACAGATAAAAGCAGAAGGTTATGACAAGTTATGGTTATTTGAAATGTTAAGTTGTTTATGAACCTTACACACATACACCTTTAGTATGATTATCTTTAAAAAAAGGAGAAGATAGAAGTCCATTTTTTTTATAGTAAGTAAGGGAGGACCTTACTTAAGTGTGTAAGTGTGTGCATTAACATGAACAAGGAAACACTACGATATACCTAGCAATAATAATACTTTAAGACTCGCCAACTCGCGCGTGCAACACAAGCACTTCTCACTTATAAGGTGTAGGTGACACCGACTTGGCTGACACCGGCTCCAAAATTAACAATAATTGTAACTACATTATATTCATTTCATTTTACTTAGGAGAACTAAAATAAATATTTTGATCGTTGTTTGTTATTCACAGGTATATGTTAAATTAGATTTGAAGTGGGTAGGTACCTACCTACCTTCTTGCGTAGTAAACACATAGATCGTACCTACATACAGATGAGTAGAAAAAGTAAGTTGATTATTAAGTTGTAGAAGAATATGCGTTTATTTTTTTACTTTTTAGTGCATATTAGTTTGTTTTGGAATAGTGTTTTTTGAAGTCGGTTTTTTTTGTTAAAAATTTTTGTTTATTAAAATAAATGTTTAAAGGAATAAACCTGGGGTTTCTAAGAAAAACGTAAAAATTCAATTATTCCGTTGCAAAGGACCTCCCCTATGACTTCTTAAAGGATCCGGTCTAATTACCAATAACCCTGTTTCTAAATTAAGTGCACAGGAAACGTAAATCTAAGTAGGTTTTAGGTATTAACATAAGCAATAGTGTTTGAAATATAAGTTATGACTTATCATGTAAAATACAGAGTATTCAAGATTTTTGTTTTACTTTTTGAAAGCTTTAAATTGTTAATGATTTCTTTATTATGTTTTCAAGAATCAAACAAAACCTTAGATAAAGAAATACCTAATAATCTAAAGTGGCAGTATATGTCATTATTAACATTTTTGTTTTAAATGATATATAATAAAATTCTGTTACTATTTTAATGGGTTTATATATTTATATTTTTAAGGTATTTTTTTTTGTTGACGGTATAAAATTTCTTTCGAATATCATGCTGCTTGGAGACTAAGGAGCCAGGAGTGTGTGGTGATTCCACTGAAAACTTTATGGTAACCTATCATAATTAAAACAGACATTTTATCTTACTAAGCACTTTTCTCATATCATGATAACGGGGCGTCCATTAATTACGTGAGGCGTTCAGTGAGGCAGGGGTGGGGATCGAGCCAAATCTCATCTAATCCTACTTTGGGGACAGGGGGTCTCGGCAAATATCACGTAATTTTTTATCCGCAAGACACAGAGCGAAAAAATTTAGAGAAAACTGAGTTAAATTAAGTAAAACATGTTCCTGCACTAAAATATAACGACTTGACGACTGTTGCAGCGTACGAGCATCATCACCCGCAACACATCATCACCAGATATTTTTCCCTCACGAAAATCCCTCACGTAATTAATGGACGCCCCCTAAGTACCCACCTTATTAAAAAAGGTGGTTTTTCCTTAACTTTAAATTCTAATAATTATTAGAATTTAATAAAAATTTAAATTTTTGTAGATAGGTTAAGTTATTTATCATCTTATTTATTTATAATTTTTCATTATCATCAGCCTATCGCAGTCTACTTCTTGACGTAGGCCTTCGATCACTCGACACTTCGGCCACTTCGATCGAAATTCAGCTATTTTTATTTAATTTAACATGATTTTTGCATTTGGTAAGAAACATATTTTTATGTTATAGCAGCACTGTTGAAGGTACCGTCATCGTCAAATTCCGTCAAAATTGTTGTGGATTTTGTTTGGTAAAGTGATCTTTTTGCAATTTAGAAATCAATAATTCTCTACAATGAACCGATTATTCGGAAGAGGTAAACCTAAAGAGCCTGGACCAAGTATTGCGGATTGTATAAACAATGTAAGTTAGCTGTAAATGCTTGCAGTATTTGTTCTAAAATAGGCTGATAAATGGATGATTCATTCACAGTTAATTATTACCATCGTGTTTTTGCTTATCTTTAAGGTCGATGGCAGAGCTAACAATATCGAAGAAAAAGTCACTAAACTGGATGCAGAGCTTAGGAAATACAAAGATCAAATGAATAAAATGAGAGAGGGTCCAGCAAAAAATTCTGTGAAACAAAAGGCTATGAGGGTATTGAAGCAGAAGAAAATGTGAGTGTTTCTATATTCTATGATTTTAGTTCTCAGAATTGGTTCATAGAATATCTCTTAGCGTGTTTGCATTTTTTTTACTGAATCTTAAACGTGTATTGGATAATCTCAATTATACCTATAAATGAAAAAGTATCATTAGGTAGTAGGAGTAACTATAATATTGACGGCCGGATGGCGTCGCGGTTTGTGTAACAGACTGTTATGCCAAAGGTCGCGGATTCGATTCCCGCTCAATTCAAACATTTGTGTGCATGAACATTTAATTTTTGATTTGGTCTGGGTGTTTCTATGTATAATATGTACATATTTACAAAAAAAATGATATGTATTAATATCAGTTGTCTAGAATGCATAGTACAAGCTCTGCTTAGTTTGGGGCTAGATGGCGTTGTGTAAATATGGAAAAAAAATCTTTCTTAGTGGCTGTAGGTGCATTGACATGTAAATGTATAATTTAATATAACATTTCAAACTCATTTCTTCTCATTTTCTTTACATATGGAGTTGCCATCACTTGAGTGAGAAATAAGTGGGCTTACCAGATTCTAATTCATTTCGAAAGTGCTAATGCCTAATTTGAATAAGAACTTAAATTAATTTTGGATTGTTAGTTAGTATTATATTCAGTGTGGTAACGGATTAAACATATGGAATGTCACCACCCCTTTCTATTGGTACAACAGCATAACAAGGGAAGGATTACTTGAAACATTCCTATGCTAACAAGTCTGGCCAGCATAGCACAGTAGGCCAAACCCTCTTTTTCAGGGGAGATCTATCTCCAGCAGTGGACTTGTAAAGGCTGTTGATGATGATGAGTTGGTATTATTCATTTGCAAGTTTGAATTGCGAGTCTTAAGATCTATGTCTAAGACATTGAAGATGTTGATTGGACTGCTTTATTAAAGGTATGAACAACAGCTGGAGAATCTTCGAGCACAATCATTCAACATGGAGCAGGCAAACTATGCCACTCAAACTTTGAAAGACACACATACCACTATTACAGCCATGAAGGATGGAGTAACCCAAATGAAGAAAGAATTTAAGAAAATTAATATTGATAGTATTGAGGTGGGTAATACATGTGTGTGTATGTATAATCATGTTAATCTTATATACGGGAATATGGAATGAATTTCTGTTTTAATAATGTAATGGTGTTTTGAGATTTTCTGAATTAGAAGAAGACATTGACCAACCTTTAGTAAATGATATCTTTTTATATATTGCTCTTGTAATATGCAATTTTATTTTAAAACCAGGTTCTTTAAGGGTAGATTTTTAAGTCAGTCTTAATCTGTTTAAAATTTAAGCATGAAATGTTAAAATCCTTGTAAGCTATTTCATTTGGAATTTCAGGCTAACAAGTACCTTTGAAGTTTGTATAGAAATATAATTCTAACCATACCGTGTACGTGGTGCGCCTTCCTACAAAAAAAAATGAGCCACCACAGTACATCTGGCATATGTGAAACATCAAATCGAGTATATATGATAAAAATTATATCAAAATTATTCTGTTGTCACTCGTGCATGACGACGCCACCACATGACATGTTGTCACCGACGCCGTGGTCACCATACCAGTCTGATCATCCGCATGAGATGATTCACATCAAAAATATTATTTAGACTAAACTTAAGGGCAGTGAAGTGTAACTTTGTAAAAAAATAGTAATAAAATACTTTAATATTTTTACAATTATAATTACAGGATGTTAATGATGATTTGGCTGACATGTTGGAACAAGCAGATGAGGTGCAGGAAGCACTCGGCCGGCAGTATGGTGTGCCTGAGATTGATGATGATGAGCTTGCTGCTGAACTAGATGCACTTGGTAACAATATAATTTTTACTATAGGAATTGGGATTATAATGTATTCATATATCTATATATGTATAACAAACCCATTTCTATATTATTATAACTAGCTGACCCGGCAAACGTTGTTTTGCCATATACATTATTTCAAAAAAAATTGACAAAAAAAAATAGGTGTTGGCCGATTCTCAGACCCGATATGCACACAAAATTTCACGAAAATCGGTTGAGCCGTTTCGGAGGAGTTCAACCACGCACACCGTGACACGAGAATTTTATATATTAGATATAAAAATTGGGCAATAGTCAATCACTAGTCTTCTATTTATTACCAGAATCCACAAAACTTGTTCTAATAATACTTTGGTATGCAGATTACCTTGATTGTTTATGCTAATAATTTATTTCTAAATTTGGCCTCAAATAAAGTTGCTTCTTTTTTAAATTTCCAGGTGACGAAATAGCTCTTGATGACGATGCGTCGTACTTAGATGACGTTGTAAAGGCTCCGGCTGCCCCTGACAAGGAACCGGGTGCAGACAGTGTCCGTAATAAAGATGGAGTGCCTGTTGATGAGTTCGGCCTGCCGCAAGTGCCCAGTGCGGTTCAGACGACACGCTAAGTGGATATTAAACCTACAACATCCACAGGTAATTTTTTTATTACTTTCTAATAACATACTCAATTGTACTGACTGTGTTGGCATTCAAATATTCTAGGATTTCGGAAAAAGTAACATTCAGTTTAGAATTATGCCTATTTATACTGACTGTTACACTAGCGATATTAATTTAGTTTGAGTTAGGCTAGTAAAAACTTGAGTGTTTGACCTCGATTGCGATTCCGCGACAGCAAAAAATTTTTGCAAGCGATTGTAGATTTCTAGAACTAATACGTCTCTCCCATAAATAGAAATTATGGTATCTTAACTACCACAAATGGCAGATACTACAGAAACAGATACCCTAGGATTTCCCTTTATATTTCAAATCTTCTGTCCTTTAGGCGTTGCGTGTCTGTCAGTTACTTTTATACTTTATAGGTATAAAATATCTAAAATATAGATTTGTATTATTTTCCGTTATTTAATTGCTAGCTAGGCCCAATTAGTAGATCATCATTATCATCAGCCTATTGCAGTCCACTGCTAGATAGACACAGGCCTCTCCATTACATACCTCCCATGCATAGATACTTAGGTAAGATTGTATATTTAATAAAAATGTGAATTATTATTTTAATAAATTTTTTTTTCATATTTCAGGGTCACCCACACAAAATCGCCTATGGGATAAAAATAAAGAAGTTTCGAAGTTATAGAACAAAAAACAAATTATTGTATAATTTCAATTTAATTGCTAAGAATAAAATTGTATATTTTTTTATGATTTTAAATCATTTGCATGTGTGACTTCTAAAGTTATATTATTGTCGATGTTTTAATATTAAAAGTTTAACTTAAACTAAAATTTAATTAATAACATTTTTTTTAAATATGTCACAAAAATGACAAATATTCTTCTAATTCACTAATGAGCACCTCTTTCTATGTAATCGTTAGATAAGTTGTTACATATTTATTTAAATGTGAGGGGTATTTTCAAAAACAACTAGTTAAATTAACATACAAATTTAAGAAGGTGAAAGTTTGTTATTCTTTTTATAGTATTTTTATTATAATTATATTTGCTAACTAGCTGAGACCCGCGGTGTTACCCGCGTTTGTTGTTATAACCGCGGGCAACGCCGCGGGGCGAAGCTAGTCTAAAAAAGTAGCCTAAGTTACTCCTTATGTCATCAGCTATCTGCCAGTGAAAGTCCCGTCGAAATCGGTCCAGCCGTTTCAGAGATTACCCGGAACAGACAGACGGACAGACAGACAAAAATTGAAAAAAATGTTATTTTGGCATATGTACCGTGTAAACATACATATGCATTTAGTAAAAAGCGGTTATTTTAATATTACAAACAAACACTCAAATTTTATTTATTTGTATAGATTATTTTGGCATATGTACCGTGTAAACATACATATGCAGTTAGTAAAAAGCGGTTATTTTAATATTACAAACAGACACTCCAATTTTTTTAGATATTATTAAAAATTAATGGTTAGACAGCTATATTTTATAACCTTATTACGTCATAATGGTCCACAAACGAAATATACTGCGGTTTTTATACCTCTCACATGTTGGTCGGTTTTCTGGTAAATTTTTATTTGGAATTAGATTCCTCATGCTAGTGTCACAGGATATATAATGTACTGTGTACAAAAGGTTAACATACTTAAACATCAAAGTGCTCACTTATCATTTCCAGTCTATTCGTATTACAGAATTCGACATACAAAACTTTGGTCAAAGAAATCAGTGCTCATTCGTGTATTTGCTAAAGTTTTGAAAATTTAATAATATACTTGCCAAAATCGTCTTTTGGGTATACAGTTTAAGCATATTCTTGAAAATGAATTTATTTATTTCCTCTTGCAAATCCTAATAATAATAATTTACGATTGTTTTTTGTTTTGTGATTAAAATTCTATCATTAGTTGCTGTAACTAAGTTAAATAAATGTAATCTAGATGGTACGATTTTTACAAACTTAAGTTATACTTATAATACACGATATTTTTAAGTGTGTGGTTTTCATTCAATTAGATGCATTGGTCGTTCATTTCGATAAGAAAACATCACATACTTATAAATTTAACCGATAGCTGGATAGCATAGTGATTTGTGTAACGGACTGCTATGCCTAAGGTCGCGGGTTCGATTCCCGCTCGAGTCAAACATTTGCATGCGTGAAAGTTTAATGTTTGATTTGGTCTGGGTGTTTCTATGTATAATATCTATGTATTTACAAAAAAAGGAAATATGTATTTATATCAGTTGTCTGTACCCATAGTACAAGCACTGCTTAGTTTGGGACTAGATGGCGTTGTGTGAAGGTGGTAGAATATTATTTATGTTTAGATGAATAAAATCTACATACCAGTGCGTCACCAGACAATGTCAATGTTAAAAAAGTTTAACATAATTGTATCATTGACAAATATTTTAATTTAAATAAAAGTTTAATATTTTAGTACTACTGCATAAATAATTAAATATGTTTTTTTTTTTAGTTTTTTTTTTAGTTTTTTTAAAAGACAACTCCCGCATTAGGAATATATCCTGTGTCGCGGGGGACTTTACAAACATACATGAAACGGACACAAAGAACACCCAGACTCAGAACAACAATTTCTGGATCACACAAAGTGTCGTCCCATGTGGGGTTTGAACCCACAACACTCGGCGCAGTAGGCAGCGGCGTGGCGACCGCTTAAACCACTACGCCATCTGTGCAGTCAATACGCTTGTATGTGGCAATGTGTTTATATACACTTGTTTAAAAATCTGGCACATACATATCTGTGCGAAATTCTCCCTGTACAATTTCACCTCGTACTTGGCTGGTTTAGACAATAGTAGACGTAGACAGTAGTCGACGTAGCATGTACTTCCGAAACTTAACGAGTGAGGTTGCCGGAGACCCAACCCTATCTCCCCTCCTATTTCTAGGAGAAGGGTACTCAAAGACCGGCAACAGACTTGTGTCTCTTGAGGTGCAGGTGTCCATAGGCGGGGTAGGTGACGCGTCTGTTCGTTTGCCCGAATACCGAAAAAATCAAAATAAAACTGGCACTCCGGGAGTGTCGACCGAAATGAAAACTTACACGAGGACTGCTATTTATGTATCCGGAACAGGCCAGTCACAGAACAATATTAAAAAATTAATTATAACATTTAAAAATGAAACTCTTCGGCTGAAGAATACAATTTGTTTCATGTAGCTGTCATTTGTTTATCCTTTGTGGCGTCATTTTGAAAATTGCCTAAGCGACACCTCTGCATATGAGGTGTCGCTAAGGCAATTAATGGTAACCGTAACAGTGTCGTGAGTTCAATTGTTTTTTACATCTCAAAAAAGTGTTTTTTGTTAAACCATAGAATTCATTCTTTTGGGTGTTGTTCAAATTGGAAGTTTTCACTTCAGAAAACGACGTGATCGGTGTCGGATCGAAGTCCCTTTCGCTTTTTGGTAGATGATTATGTGAATAATAATATAATAATTCATTTATATGCACATATAGTGTATATAAATGAATTATTAAAAATTGATGCAATTGACGTGACAATGAAATGTTGGAAAAAAGTCTTGTTACACGTTTTTCGTTCGCTCCCATTCCTTCAAAGAATATGACGCACGATAAGAACCTTCGTTCCAAAAAATCTGGCAAAAGTTCTGTCGAGGTGAAACTTTACAAACTATATTTTGGGTCAAGGTTGACGTTTCTCTGCGCATACCTTCAGTGATAAGAAAGATTATTTAGGGAGAGCGAAAAGTTGGCTGCGCTGTCTCTAAGTGCTGTATCTCCGTTCGCCTTTGAACCCGAAAAAATCGTACTCTACGATTCTAGGCAAGACTGGCCTAAATGTGATAGGAATCACATTTCGCGGATCGCAGCATCATAGCAATTACAATGGAGGGTTTTTCGAGTCAGTCGCTTGCCGACGATTGGTTATAAATATCGAGTATGCCGTGTGGGTTTATTGATCCGCGTGGTGACGGATTAAGAATAGAGAGTGTCACCGCCCCTATTCATCCCGTGGGTGTCGTAAGAGCCGACTAAGGGAAAAAACTACTCAGAACAGCGGTCCTTTTGAGAGCATTACATGCGATCAAATGAGACTTGCACTGAAGATCGTGGAACAATAGTGCGTAGCACACAACCTGACAGTGAACCCATCGAAAACAGAGATGATCATGTTCACAAACAAACGCAGCCTAGGAAATCTCTGACTTCCCAAGCTATTTGGAACACAACTTACTCTTACCAAAGAGGTCAAATACCTAGGAGTAATACTGGACAGTAAACTCCTGTGGAATTAGCACCTCGGTGAAAAACTGAATAAAGCCTGCATTATTTTCTGCCAATGCAAGCGGCTACTCGGCAAAAGCTGGGGACTATCACCCAAGATTACTTTATGGCTATACAGAACAGTCATAAGACCAATAATCACTTACGGTGCTGTTGTCTGGTGGCAGAGAACAGAGCTAAGCACCGTCATAAACAAACTGCAGCAATTCCAGTGACTCCCATGCTCCGCGGTCACTGGCTGTATGCGCACAACGCCTACTGCCGCACTGGAGGTGGCTCTTGGTCTGCCCCCCTGGATCAATTCATACAGCAGGAGGCCGCCATGGCGATCATTAGACTCAAACACCTGGGTCTATGGCACTAAAGTGAGGGATCGCACTCCAAATTATGGGATCAATTGGTGGAATACGAACCACTGATAGCAGCTCCATGCGATAGAATCCCAAAACACTATATCTTCACAGATACATGGAAATGACCGAGATCAATCCGGCATTAACGAAGTCCGAATTTACACGGACGGTTCCAAGACTAGGTCAGGAACTGGAGCCGGAGTTTTCTCGCAAGACTTAAATATAAACATATCACTAGCGTTAGGCCAACACAGTTCCATATTTCAATGTGAATGTGTGGCAATAACTTACGCTGCCACAACGGCCATTTCAAGGGGTATCAAGGACTACAACATCCGAATAATATCCGACAGCATGGCCGTCTTAAAGGCATTGGAGGGCAACACAATGACCTCTGGTATTGTCTTCGAATGCCACCAAGCACTGGAACAGCTCGCTACATTCAATGGGGTACTCCTCCAATGGATTAAAGGGCACAGTAACTCACACAGGAACGATGCCGCAGATGAGTTGGCAAGGAGGGGCTCGGCAACCTCAACCTCTGGCCCAACCCCACTCCTGCCCATATCGTTTAACCAAATACGATGCTGGGTCAGGCTACGGACCTGTGAAGCACACAACCGGAGGTAGAAAAACTCACCCGGCTGCAGACAGTCCAAACTGGTGCTGAATCAAGTCACACCACGACTCACCTGCAGATTGATCAGTCTTAGCAGACCGGAAATCAGAATGGTTGTTGGAACTATTACAGGACATCTAGCCCTGAACCGACAACTATTCATAATCAATGCGACGGACAGTCCCCTGTGCAGGGGATGTCTGGAAGCTGAAGAAACGGCCGTCCACGTAATCCTGGAATGCGAGGGAGTGGCCACACAACGGGCAAGTATCATTCCCGATATAAAGTCGCTCCTAGAAGCCTGTGAATGCCCCAGGAGGCTTCTGCGCTTCTGGAAGGAGCTTGGCTGGCTCACCTAGTCAACCAATCCTCGACGCATTAAGGACCACTCTGAGTCTAAATGCGGAAACCGAAGCCTACAACCAATACCAATACCAATACGCAGAACAACAAAACTGCAGTGAGAAGGAAAACTTGACACAAACCTTATACCAACCCGTCTAGCCAGCGTGGTATAGTAGGCTAAAACCTTCTTTCTAAGGAGAGGCTTATGTCCAGCAGTGGACTGTTAAAGGCTGTTGATGTGATGTGTAAGTTTAGAATTGGAAACTTTTCTAATATACACTCGAAATAGTTGCTTCAGTGTAGTTCTTCTCGTCTGCTGCTTTAAATTTATAAAAATTGGTTAATGTACAATTTGTTTACACAAGTACTATATAAAATAAAGTTTTAATATTCGTAGTTTAAATTTAATGGACACCGAAAATTCTGACTGAATGTATTAAAGGATTACGGGGAAAAACCATCTGATGATAAACTACAAACCGTCCGGGGCCGGTAGCTCAATAAGACATATTTGAGTCGCAGGGATTTTTGTTTGACTGTTTAAAAAGTATGGTTTGGATATGGGGAGCCATACCTCAGCATAAATGGGCCGGTCTGATACCGCGGCGTCACAGAAAACCGGTGTTAAGCAATTATTTCGATGTTTTTAGTCGAGTAAGTGAGATTACCGGTATCTCTGATTTTGGGAACAGGACTCAAGGCCGGCTTAACCATTAAGCAGAGTAAGCACCAGCCTAGGGGGACCTCTTTTGCTGTTAGTTCCTGAGGAGTTACGCATCGGTCAGGTGATGCTGCTGATGCTATTACTCACAATCCTTCATCGACTTACAAAGAGCTGAATCTTCAAAAAAGGGGCCTCAGACGTTGCCTAAGGGCCTCGACATGGCTAATCCGGCCATGGGAGGACTCAAAAGGCGGAAACGCACTTGTGTCACTTGCAGAGGGTCGAGTGCAAGTTTATTTCACATCGACTCTCTCTCGCCGGTGAGGGCGTTTAGCGTTGCGATTGGTGGAGATTTTAGTGCGGGCCAATCGTAGCGCCGAACGCGGTCACCGAGACGATCGAGTAGAAGTTAAATAAACTCGCACTTGGCCCTCTGGCGTCCATGAACAGTAGTAGTTCCTTAATATCAGGTGATTCCCCTGCTCGTTATTACCTTCTGTTTCATACAATAATCAATTTCATACATTAAAAAATACAAAAAAACATCAAAAACAAACCGAAGTGAATAAATGAAACAACCATATACAGGGAAGGCAAACGATCAACCTTTATTACATAATAATAATTTAATTGAATTATATTACACAGTCAACACTAAAATACTGTTTTGTTCATCGCGTTCATCGCTTAGGTTTAAAACATTTATGTATACTGCATCACAGTAATAGGTAACAAGTGTGTCCCACTGTTGCGACATACAATAAATACTAATAAATAATACTTGTCCTTGTATTTACAACCTAACTGATATGTTTCATCACTCCGAACTGTTATGGTAACTATGTCGCACTCTAATTGCACTATCTAAAATAAATTAACACTCAGCAGCTTAGTCCAAGGCTTCCTGTCCTGTCTTTGGCAAGAAGAAGCACAGGAAGGCGGCAGCTGTGGATGGGCAAACAACATGTATATTAGAGTCAATGTAAAATGAATTACTGTGGTCTTGTAAGAAGGTTAATGAAAGCAATACGAGTCATTGCCTTCCACTGCTGAGCATATTATGCTCCTACAGACTACAATTTTTACATTTATATGTTTTACCAAATTGTTTCGTTGTATCGTTTTGGTATTGAATTTGGTTCGCCGTATTGTACCTAATAAATGCGGTCTTTTAAAAGAGGTCTTGAATTAAAAGTTAAAGGTACCCAGTATCATTGCCAATCGCGGATTGCCAATTATACCTACTGGCTATTCCTTCAGTGTACAGATAGGGTATTTCATTTATTATTTAATTGTAAGCAATTAATTAATTATGTAAATAAATCTCAATTTATTAATTTAACTAAATATGAATTGAATATTAACCACGTTACGTCTGAATTTAGCTTAGTTTAGCTTTCTGCTTGCAAAACTGATGATGATGAAATCATTGAGAAAAATAACTGCTGTATTTTTCTCAATGATTTTTTGATCAGTTAAATAAGCAAATATATGAATTGCACTTTAAGCTTATTAAGAGAGTTAAAAAAATAGTTTTGAGCGACTTCTCAGCAGACCACAACTTAAGTTTTATTTGATACTTACAGAAAAGGAATGCCGCGAATACAACGATGGGGATGACACAGTTGATGTCGATGAGGTAACCGAAAGACAAGTTGCCAATAAGACCACCGCCTCGACCCGCCGTCAGGGAGAGAGCTGCAGCCATTACCCTGAAAAAATTATAATTTGATTAAAATATTTATTATCAAGTAAAATAAAGTGATAACGTTAATTGACATCTTTACTCTCGCTTTACTGAAATCTGTGGGAGAGTGTGTAAGAGCGCTGGGCAAGCTCATGTTACACATCATATGCGACTATTGTAAAGCTCGCTGTTTTTTTTTTTCATTATTTGAAATAAATATTGATTTCGAAATATAGTATTTATCAATAGTCACATGTCATCCATGTGATAAAGACCATTCTTGATCTTTGTAATTTATAAAAAAAGTTACTAATTAGGTATATTCCAATACTAATTTACGCAACGTAGTACATTTTTTTTGTGATGAAATTTATAAATGTCAGGGTACCAACAGTTACGATACTCGTAACTATGTGTGTAACCAAGATGTACCAATAGAAAAATTTATTTTTGTACATGTAATTTCTTACTTCGGTAATTTTATAGCATAATCGATATTTGTTTGAATTTAATTGTCGCTGCTGATATGTCAATGTCGGTACTGTGATAATTATAACGAGACACCAATACATACCTAAGGTTTGTAGGGAACAAGTCGACCAACACGCAGAATACAAGACTGATGGCGAGCGAGGTAAGGGCTTCAAAGATGCAAGACAGCACCAAGTTTTGTGTAGAGTTTTGTACGTAATACAGCCCAACGGTTACAACACCAGCGATGGTCAAACTGAAAACTGTAAATAAAATACACTTTAAGAATTACATAATAATGGTTTTGAATCTTGGTGTAGTCTATCAGGTCTATCTATATCTTACGTCACCGTGATGGTAGTTCTTCTATGAGTTCACAAAATCAAAGAAAAAATATACCAAATATACCCAACTGATTTAATAAAAAGAAGTTCGTTGCACTTATTGGGAATATTAGAGATGTGAAAACCATCAAAGCAAAACATTTCGCGTTATGAAATTCTGTATTGCTAAAAGTACTGTTCGCTGCAAAAGCGGCATCGCAAGAAAAATATTTATTAGTAGAAGTTTGACAATTATTGTTGAAGAAAATTTAAATCAGACCTCGTAATATGTAATGAAAACCAAATACTTACTCAAGAAGAATTTTGCTCCGAGTTTGTGTACACAAAGTGGTAGCCAGAGAGAGGTGGGGATACAAGCCAGACCGACAATCAGAGTGTGCAAATATACGCTTGAGTCGATGGTCTTCTCGCAGTCGAAAGGATCGCCGGTGGCTTCATCGACCACTACGATACTGGAAACGTCGCACACGGAGGCTGATGTGTTCGGGAAACGGCTCTCGAATTCTTCGTAACGGTTGAACAATTCGGGGAACCAGATCATAAGGGTATAGTAACTGTAATTAAATAATGGGTGTTATTTCTATCTTAGAAGAGAAGAGTAACTGCTTTAGCAGTTAGGTTACTTGCTTATTCTTTACCTTGTTGTCAAACCGAATTGAATAAGGCAAGTCAGGATTGTATATTTGAGGTAGGGTGGCCTGCAAAGGGCTTTGGTCTGAACCCAAATCTCACTGAACAGGCGTTTCAGGTCCTTAGGTTTACGCATACTGAGGCTTCGCACAGATTTCTGGGAGTTCTGGGACGCCACCGACACGGTACGCACTTTTTCCTTGAGGCTTTTGATCTGGTGGATAATATTCAAAGGTTACTATTATACACTGATAACAAAAGTTGTCGAAAAAGTTCCAGCAAATGTTGGTCGTTATTTAGTTTTGATTTTTTGTACTATTAAAATACCTTTTATGACAGTTGTTAAATCGAGAGTTGATCGGACTGAACTTTTATTACGAGGATTGGCTTTCTGCTAGTGACTACGTTTTTTATTCTTGTAATAATCTCGATATTAAATTCACATTTTTAACTCTTAAAAAAAGACCATCACATGCTACCTTAGCTTTGAAATGTTGAAATAGATACTCACAGCAGTATTAATTTATTAAATCTCTGAAGTTAGTTTAAACCTATAGGATAATACCTAGCATTGCATTTCTATTGGGCGATCTAGTCCTCTAATACTAGTCATCTACCATGTAGAAATGTCATATAAAGTTGATTTTAAAAATAGTAGTTTGTTAAAACGACATTAAATGTTTCTTTAACTGTTTCTTTCATGTGCAAATATTTACTTTAAGTAAACCAGTATAAACAATTGTTAGTGTATTTAATTTCTATTGTTGGATAAACTGTGTTTAAATTTGTATTTTTTTTCCTTTTTATGTAGACAAAGAACTAAATAAATGACTGTCTGAAATCTTACCGGGTAATTGTCACGATCGTCACCAGTGTTCTGTCTGTAGATATCCTTGAGACAGTCGAGAGCATCATCATAGTCACCACACTCCATCATGAATTTGGGACTTTCTGGGAATGTCAGTAGCCAGAAGCCAAGGAGTAGAGATGGCACACCGCAGGCAGAGACGAACCAGTTCCAAGAGTCATATGAGAAGGAGCCAGATTCAATGCGAATGCCGCTAATAGGAATAATACCCCAAGCAATCACTGCGAAAAGTACATAGAAAGTTTTAATCAGAACGTCGAAATTAATGTGATTGTTTTGTAGTTTTTAATCATCAGATAATTTCAATTTGAACTTTATTCACTATTTTGCATTTCTAATTATGAGGTTCGGGTTTAGATGCTTGTGTTGGGTACTTGATTATGTTATTTACCTTTTTTTAAAGAATGAATTTATAATAGTTGAAATAAGTTTTAGGAGATAATCCTTATGTTTTAAATGTGAATTTTTGTGTGCTTAGGATTTTGCAGATGTTGTATTTTATAAATTTTTAATATGTTCAACTAAAAATTATAATCTAGTAAAGAACACTGATCGTAGATGATTATCTGGAGTTTAATATAGTTTAAAACTGATACGAGTATAATTTAATTTCGTGATGATTTCCTTACGTGGAAGTATGATGACTCCTAGTGTCCAGAACATTTCCATCCAACAGAGGATCTTCTCTCTGTATTTGGTTTGCTGGAATTCTCCCAAGTAAGGGAAGCAGATACCCATAGCTCCGGCAATTCTGAAATTAAAAACAAATTAAAATGGTAACATAAATATGGGCAATAACTTATGGAATCAATGTTATGTTAGGCAATCATTCTTAGATAAGTATTAAGTAATTTGTAGTGTACATATGTTAATGGGAGTAACGGAATTACATAGTAGGTACCGTGTGGTCGTGAGCACAGGCTGACTGTGACAACGAATACCTTCGCAACTTGGTCGTAAGTTCAGACAAATAACATCTTATTACAAATGATAGAACGTGAAAGTTAAAAAATCGAAGTATTTATTTATTATTCAAATGGAAGCTCATGACACCATTATATTAAAATTGGGAATTAGTAACATTCAAGTAATTGCTACTTCAAAACATCGATAACATAGAAAAATAACATGAAATTTCCAATACAAGAATATCCTACAAACAGATAAAAAAATACTACTGAAAGGTCCATTAACATAAAGAAGATATTTCAATTATGTCCTATAATATACCTCTTGATGTGAATACGCTCTTTTAATTTTATAAAAACTTTTTTAGATCAATAGTTTGGTAACTAGCAAGTTTTATTAAAACCTGTCCTTAAATAAGAAAACAATTAAAACAGAATTCTAGATAATTATTGTTCTGATTTTCTGATCGCCCATTTCACGCTCTGTTCTAATAATTGTAAATGTGGGAAGAGTGTTTACAATGAATAGCATGACGCGTGCGAAGCATTTATCAATTACATTGTTTACTACAAGGTAGGAAAACATCTTCAATAGCGGCTATAAAACTACACATAATAACTATATCTGCAAGTGTATACCTATATGCTTTTGCTTTACTCAAGAAAGCATTATCATAACAAACCAATTCTAAATGCAGTCATCTTTTCGCTGTATACTATACCTACTGTGGCTACCGCAAGATTTGTTGTTATTAAAGAAACAAGAAAGTCCTGAAAGACTGCGCATTGACTGTCTGTTAGAAAAGAGACAAAACCCTGACAAGGACTGTTGATTGACTTACTGTGTATATAGAAACATACATTTCTATTATTTTGACTGGCCTGTTGGTCAGTCTTTAAAATGTATGTATTTAAAAAAAAATATAAGTATGTTTATCAGCATTCTGGTTACCATAGCACAGGCCCTGCATAGTTTGGGATCAGGTAGCCGTGTGTAAGATGTGTCAAGTTATTATTTATTTAAATACTATGCTTCCCGTCACGGGACCCTCTCATACCGACTGACGCAGGTGATCACTGGGAAAGGATGTTTCGGAGATCACCTGTGTCTGATCCGCAAGGAGCCAACGCCTGGGTGCCACCACTGCGATGGCCAGACCGTGGACACGGCTCTCCACACGCTGGCAGAGTGCCCGGCGTGGGTTGGCAAAGGCGAGACCTCGTGGCGGCCATCGGAGTGGGAGTTCTCTCGCTCGATAGCCTGATTGCGGCTATCGTGCGGAGCGAGAGTGCGTGGAATTCTGCCGTCTCCTTCTGCGAGCAAGTTATGCTCCCGAAGGAGACGGCGGAGCGGGACCGGGAGAAGTTTAGGACTCTCCCGGCCCGGGAGGCCCGGGAACGGGCCAGGTACCGCAGGCGACTCAGGCGCCGGAGGTCGCAGAACGACCTCCGTCCTCCATAAGCGCAGGCCTGGGGGTGACAGGTGAGGCCATCTGTCACCCTAGCAGAACCAGGCCGGGGTGGCGGCGAGCGCGTTGCGAAGCGCGCTCGCTTCCGAACATGAAGTTCCCACAAGGGGGGGCGGGGGGGGGGGGGTTGGGTATTTTGTCAAGAGCTATCTCTACACCATATGGTATTCTATTACTGTTTATTGACCAGCACCGTCCGTTAGTTGAATTGATTGGTTGATTTTGCTTAGTTGACGAAGAATGATACTAACTACAACTATGGCACAAGCAGGAAATTTTTAGCATCAATATCAACTCCACAGTTGTCTCTTATTTAAGTTTACTTTATGCGTTTATCTTAACAAAACAAGATACATACATAATTCTATTTCTCCCTAACTAACTAACAATTTCTAACTTCAAAATAAATAAGCGCACTTTTAATCTTTTCGTTCATATGCGTTTCACGGTTATTTAAAAAAGTAAAAAAAAGTTATATCTTAGATTTGAGTGAATCTTATTATGCGAGCATTAGTATTACTATGACAACTAAAGTTAAACTACGAAAATGATGTTGCTGACATTACTTGACATATTTAATAACTATGCCACATTTCCTGTGATGTTAGAAATTAGTAAAATATAGGAGCACTTTGGTCGCCTGTTCTTTTCTTGAGTTAGTAAATAAAAGAACCCATGTCTTGAAATTCTAATTATATTCCTTTTTTAAACTGACGAATAAATATAAGTCCAAAGTTATAACCAGTATTAACAACTAATTTCAAATTAATAAAGGATAAATAGAACTGAATAATTATATTAAAGGCTGCCTGGTAGCAAATTTTTAATTTGGCATTAAGACTATATCTGCTGTGTAGAAAGTTTTCAACTAAAAATAATATTTAAAATCAAGCTGTTAGGTCTCAAAATGACAATAAGGATTTGAATCTTAAACTCGTGTCATTCAAAACTTGAGAATTGTAATTTTTTGAGTTCTTTTGTTCTGAAGACATTGTTATAAGGTTTTTACATATAGGCATACATAGATAAAAGTATCCATTGAAGTATGTGAGTATATAAATAAGCACACTGTTTATACTATTGACTGATGGTACTTGGTGCAACTTACTACACATATTGAATTAAGTCACTTGTCAGTACAATATTTATTTACTAAACCTCACCGGTTTCACCTCATGGGATTTTCAAAAGTTAAGGAAACATATCGGTGACATTACGGATTAAAAATACAGAGTGTCATGACCCCTATTCATCCCGTGGGTGTCGAAGGAGCCGACTAAGAAAGCAAACTACGCAGGAGAACAGCACTACAAAGAGAAGGAAAACTTGACTCAAACCCTATACCAACCCGCCTGGATAGCGTGGTATAGTAGGCCAAAACATCCTTTCTAAGGAGAAGTCTATGTCCAGCAGTGGACTTGTAAAGTTTGTTGATGATGATGATGATAACATATGCTATTGCTTATGTCATATTGACTACATGCATCTTCAAGTGGTCAAGAATGCTTACGAGAAACCGTTGATGAACCGACAAGCCATAAATACAGGTAGGATCTGGACAAAGGACGAGATGACGCCGACAACACCGTCGATCAGGAGAGTCGATACTAATACAATCTTGCGACCCTTGGTGTCAGCCAAGCAGCCCCAGAAGTATGAACCGAGTACCATACCTGTGAAAAAAAAGATATTTAATAAATTGGTGTTGCCGCGGCAACTTAAGTAAACAAACTTTATTAACCGAACCAAAGCATGGAAAAAGAAGTGTAGTGAGTGGTTCCAATAATTAAAAAGAAAAGAAAATGAATTACGAATCCTCATAATCATCATCATTAAAGGTTTTTTTTGTTTTATGCGTTAGCCTTGAAAATATCATTTTTTAAGCAAGTTGACAAAACATAAGGTCCGTTTGATGGTAAGTGGTTATCTATACCATTGAAAATAATTAATTATTTTTTTTTGGATACAAAGCTCACTTATAATCAACGACGATACTTATGTGTGATAATGTGCGTGGTTTGTATATGTATTTGTAGATTACGTCGTTTGGGTATGCGTGAACTTTCTCTCTAATAATATTTAGGTATCAGGCAAGGTGCTTATTCAGCAATTACAACATAGTAAAGTACTGAAATGATATAATGGTTTAGAGTAGTCTTACCCAACATGGGGGCAGCAGTGAGCCACCCTTTGTCCGCAGATGTCATCTTGAAGTCACATGTCGCCGCTGGTAACACGAAAGACACTATAGTGATCCCGATGGCAGTGTTCGCATAGATAAGTCCGGTGATGGCCAGCAGGCAAAAGTGGAAACGACCGAAGCCTGGAAATAAAACAGAAACACACATTTTTAGGAGACTACAATGAAATTTGTTAAAGATCGAGAGAAAAGTCAAAGATTTGTAGTGATTTCAAATTGAGCAATTCCGGTCATTTCAATTTTCTGCGTAAAAGGTTCAAATATTCAGGCGGTTCAGACCATAGGTACTTTGATGATTTTGACCACGTTGTCAGTCGATCAGAAAAACACGTCATAACTGAATTTTGAAAATTAAAACTTGTGGTCAAATAATAATAATAATCTTTCGGACATCTTACACATAACGCCATCTAGTTTCAAACTAAGCAGAGCTGAAACGTAGACTGACTAATAGATTATTTGATATGATGATAAAATGATTGACCTCTATATATACATACATATTATACATATATATAAATACTCTATAAATACATACATATTATACATAGAAAAATTGTAAATTGATGCGAGGATTGCGTGACTGTTATGGGCCCCTTGGCTCGATGAGCCCCTGTGAGCCCCTGTTTCTATTTTATATAGGTTTTCTATATACAAAATAATATAAAAAACTGAATTAGTAAACCTGTGGGTACACAAGTACAGACAGGCATATAACTATGACTTATAACCATTTGCAGATAGCACTAGTTACATTTTATTTTCATAGAGAAACATACTACTATTATATTTATATTATTTTGCTGTTTGCTATTTATATTAGTTTTATATTTGAGCGTGCTGAGAGCCACGTGAGTATACCATTGCGTAACTTTGAGCGATAATTCAATAAATACTCTATTTACAGTGGTGATGGACTATTGTTTCATTGTAATTGTCCATTAAATAAATACGTCGTACCTGCATCCAACGACGACATTAGTGCCCTTGGATCCAAATATATATTTTACATATGTATCTTTAATAATAATAATGAGGTAAATGAGTATTTAGGGAAAACCGCCTATGAAAGGTTGGGAGTGTCATAAGGGGCTTGCGAATTTTAAGAAACCTTTTAAAGGATAGTTTACATAGGGATACTATTAATACGCACAGGTAATCGCTTGCCACTAGTGACTAGTTGGCTGCTTATGTAGGATTGTTTATATTGAAATATATAGTCAAACAAAAGCAAAAAACAACAAATAATTTTAGCTCTTAAATTATGATGAAAAGGTGTTAAACCTGACACCTGTTTACCGTTTTTAGATTTTGTAACATTGATACTTGATTTTAATCTCTAAAGAAAGAAAAAAGAAAGATGATGCTCACCTGCAGCCGAGATAGCTGCTTCAAAATCAGCTCCATGCTCCAAGAAGTCCAAACCTGTAATAAAAATGACTCAATTAGAATGGCTCACTGCATTATTTTGCTTTAAATATCAATAATGCTGAACAAGAACTAAACTTAACTGATAATGCTCGTTTAATTACAACTGTCCGTAAAGTGATTTGTGTATCTTTATTCATAATTTACAGTAATATGTAATACATTTTCAGTATTAGGAATGATAAACATGTCTATATATTTAATATATTCACTAAATTATTTTTTATATGATTACAATGAATATTCACCGCTATTGAATAAATAATGATTGGTTACAAGCTAAAGGCATTTAGCAATGTCACACGGATTAAATTATTACAAATGTCAAAAAAGTAAATACGGAACTATCGACTTAATAGATTCACTAATAAAGATAAAAGTATTATAAAAGATTTTGTAAGACATCATTACTAATGAACAAAAAAGAGGGTATTTTAATATAGTATTCAGGTGAGTTGTCATTTTGACGTTCATTTATAATATATGGCGCGTATAGGTTACACTCAATAGATTTACAATGGACTATTTATTACACGTACTTAAAATGTATAATGTTTTAAATGACGTTAATACTACAAAGAACAAAAGAGAATAAGAGGGGGGATATTGGTTAGGAAATTTGGAATAAGCCTGATATTGCGTACCGAATAGACAGGGACAGGTAAGTGTATATTTAAGTGACGTTTAAAGGCAATTTAAACGAACGATACAAACATATGCAAAAGTCAGGGAGGTAGGGACAGCTTGCCCTTAAACTGAAGGAGTACTTCTAGCCGTCTGTTACCATTATGTTCAACAGATCTCCATAAAATTTTGCATTACACGTTGTTACACATACAGAGAAAAATACGGTACATTTTATTTAGAAAAATATTGTGCCCAAACGATTGCAAAATAAATTATACACAAGGGTAGTAGTCGTGGGCAACGGAATTAACAAAGCCTACAACAATTTGTTACAATTTCGCATATGATTGTCAAATAAAAAACGGGCACGAATAAAAATACGTTGATAAAAATACAGATAAGTGAATGAATATTTGTATCCTATAGTTGCATTGTCACTAAAATAATTTACTCCATGGTGTTTCGCTTGTTTCTAAAAATTGAAAACTTTAAAGACTATATATATACATATAGAATAGATAAGACTATATATAGACTACACTAATATTTTTTGACAATAACTAGTGTGCAGGATATTTACTTATAAACGATCAATTCATATTCTTTTACATACTGACTTAAGTCTCTGTACGATTTTTAAATAAAAGTATCTTGCCTACAAAATACATAATGCACGAGTAAGTACTCTTTACTACTCATGAGTCAGACAACAAAACCTACCGAACAGAGTCGCGGAAATAGGTATTTATTATGGATTTAACTTGAGTTTTGTTTTTCTGTTGATAATGTCAATTTTCAAGTGGCCAGGCATATTCAACTTAGATATTTTTTGATATTGAGACACCTTGCATTTACACTACTTTTGCATGCAAAGGTCACGAGGTAACTGCTATCTTATCTCTGGTAATAGGTAGGTAAGTATTAGTGAACTATTGTTTAATTTACCCACACAACATTTCTGTAGTTAGTCACTTATAAGTGACTCATTAATTATAAGAAGTGCTTATACTCCGTTTTTATTATTATGTATTACGTATAATTATGTCGAATCGACTGTATTTACAATATGTCGCAGTTACATTAATAATAACATGAAAGTCTCTGCTTGGTTTTGAACTTGAGCTTAATAAAATTGTTTTAAAATCGTTTTTTATATTTTTTGTTTACCGACCCACGTTGAACAACTTCTCCCCTTGATATGGGCGACGATATTGCCATCTACTACATTGGTTTCTAAGTTTCTATCATATAACATGCTACTACTGGGAATCGAACCCAGGACCTGTCTCATTCGCAAATATGAAGGAAGTCTTACAATATAAACGAAGTATTTATCAGTTTATATGACTGTTTAAATTCCTTGCAACAAGTTTAATTACCTTCTATACAATATTTCGGTCAAATTATTTTCACGTTTCAACTCATTTAGAAACGCTTCAGTGGATACCCTGTTAATTGAAAAGGATATTTCCAATAAGTACATTAAATTAATTAATTTTCCTGAAACACTTCTATTAAGTATCATGGATATCAATTTACTTATCAATATATACGTAGTATTAATAGTCAAAATACTCGACAATATACAAAAATTCTGACTCAACAACTCAACAAACAGCTTTCACATTAAGGGGTACTTTTTAGGGAAGTGATATCGTGTTTTCCCCTGTTTTAGAGAAAAAACTGCTTACTAATATTCTGGGTACTTCCAAGCGGTATAGATAGAAAATGGTGGATGGTCGGTACGTTACAATGATTGGCGGACAATGAATAGGTCGGGTGTGAAGCGGTGATTGGGTGGTTTGCGAAAGCATAAATTGGATAGTGACTTGGGATATTTCGCTAAGGATTTTCAAAATGGGTAGGAGATTTCGCCCAGGCTTAGTTTCGGAGGCTAACTTGCATGGTTAGAAGAGATGAGGTTCCAGTATCTATTAATTAGTATCTCATAGTGCAAATCATTAGAAGAAGTTCGTGTTCAGTATGAACGTCTGTTGATCTATTCTGTTCAAATGGAACAGTACAAGTTCTAATAAACCGACTTTTCTGTCTTCTAAAGTATGCCTTGCCACCTGTAACTTATATTAGGTGGTTTTTTATTCTTACATTTATTAAACCAATCTGGATATAGAACTATAAGGAATCAATAAATCTGTTCACATATCTCTTAATCACCCAATGTTTTATTAGAGACCCACGATGATATATGTTGATAAAGTTACCATTTTGTAACTACCCCTGTGAAATGTTTGTTAATATTGAGTATATTCAATAAATATTACATTATTTGACCCGCGCAACTTCGTCTGCGCCTCGTAAAAGGAATAAATTACCTTTTTCGCAATATTTTTCATTATTAATTGCGTCCTGTAAGTCGTAGCGTGATGTAATATAACCTAGAGAAATGGACTATCCATCTCTAACAGTTTTTTTTGGAAGAAGAAAAGTGCATTCAATCAAACATACCAACTCTTCTTCTGTATAATACTTTAGTATAGATTGATATTGCTCATATAACTAAATTTAATCTTGGGTAATAACGTATCGCGTAACATACTTTAAAGAAAATAGTTAAATTCAGAAGCTTCTCTTTATTTATTTATAGAAGGCAATTTAGTTTTAAATCGTTTATTGCTTGCTTCTGTTTTTTAAATGCTAACCAGGTTAGTCAAACACAACTTATTATTTTAATTCAACTGTTGACAATTGTCTTCACTATCTTATCTACAATGAAAATACAGGTAGTTCTTGACAAGAGCTGACATTATGATTAATCAATTTTATGATGAATGCAAGATGGAGAATTTAACAGTAAATACATCAACATGACATGTCTAAATATTTGGGTGATGTTTTATCAGTTAGTTGTGAGCACATAGCTTAATAAAGATAAGTATGACATAGAAGATCGAATCAATTGCCCTGACATTGTTCTAAGACTCAAGGATACGCATTTTGTGTGGATGTTGTAATATCTACTGTACTTGATTAGTTTCGTAATCGTATTTAAACAGAACACTTTGTAGTATACAATAGTGCAGTCATCATAGGATCCCATCAGCAATGATATATAAATTAATGTAAGTGAATGAAGTAGTAAGAGACTCGTTATTCGTCATTTATTTCACGTTTTTGAAATCTGCTGATACCTTAGAACACTTGAATAGATGAACCTACTCGGATTCGATTAAAATACATAATACTATGGAGTCTTAATGCGGAAATCGGGGCTCACAACTAATACCAATAGTTTGAAATAATAAGGCCTTTTATTCATAATCATATTTATTTGCAAAAATATTGTGACAAATGGTGTTACAATGGGTAGTAGAAGATGCAAATATTTTTTACCAGAATAGTGGTATCCAAAAACATTAAATAAAATCAAAATATTTATGTCAAGCAGAGTTTAAAAATTAACGAACACGAATTCCGGAATTAAGAGATATTTGTTGTTTGATTTAAAGAAATGAGACTGACTATGGATAGTCTTTCATTTTTAAATTAGATTATTTTTCAACACGAGATCTGTACCTATCTTTAGTTGCCATATCATTATTAAAGGTACTCAGGACCCAGGAGTATGAGCAGTCTCCACCAAATCATTTGCAATGATGTGATGTTAACAAAAGTATGACTTGCAATTTACAAATTGGAGTATGATAATACAACAGAATAGCAATGTGAGTATATTAATAAGCTAATGCCGGCATTGCACACATGTGAAGGTTGCGCCCGTATGAGTAACCTGCTTGCCATATGAAAAAATTAATAGATTATTGTTCAGCCTAGGTCTCGCAGGCTTAAAATAGAAATCACTGATAAGCGTACGTACGTTAGATGAACTGAACATACTCTATTTACAGACAATCAGTAAAATTCTAACGAAAGGACCCTACTTGGGTAGGTGCCTATGTTTAAAATAAATAATTTGCCGAAATTAGCCAATAAAATGATGAGAATATTGTGAAAACTAACGTCCAGTTTCATTTTGAGCCTTTTTAATGTTCAATAATTTAATGTGAAATTATCTTGACAACAGTAAGGCTTGTCGTGAGTTAATGCTTATTTCGTACAAAATGAACCGAATCTACAGATTGACTCGGCAGTCATCTAACTTATTGTATAAAAGAGTAGTAAGTGTGTAATCTAAGAAATAAACGCAATATAAAAAATAGGTATTTTGAATTTAATCATGTTAGGGATTAAAGATTCATTTTATTTATTGAAACTTCTTGCGAAAATATTTTCATTTCTTTCAGCCAAACGTTTGGGTGCTGCAAAGCTGTGTGTGACAGTTGTATTATATATTTCGTCGACATAAGAAATTTTTACCCCGATTACCGCCATTCACGCAGGCGGAGCCGGAT